TGGCAGGAGGGCTTGATTTCCTTCCCACAATGCCTCCTTTTTGCACAGAATAGAATGGAATTTTGTCTGTCTGTCTTTACTTTCTTTCCAGGCTAGCCTATCATCCTGGGATTTTCTGGTGATCTCCTATCCAGGTATTAGCCATTGTCCTTTATACAATGCTAAAAGTTAAGATACCTGATGCTGCTCCAAGGGTGGTATTGCTCAGAAGCTGTTTCAGTTCTGAAGGATTTTGTGGGAGACAAGGAGCAACACACCTTCCTTCTCATCAAAACATCTGAGGCTGAATTGATCCCTGCCAAAGGGCTAGGGTTGATTGCAACTCTTGAAACTGGAAAAAGGCAACAGATAGAGGGGCTGGCTAAACAAGGGCCACCAATTCATTGAATGAACTCTTAGAAAGAAATCTTACCAGCATCATTTCTGAACTGGGAATAAAATACGCAGGCAGTTGCTTGAACCAGAGGTGAGGTTTATTTCTAAAAGCACAACAGAGAGTCAGCTGTTGAAGGCAGCCACGCCGAGTCCTCCCTGGAAGCCCTTCATATAGAGGAACCTTGCTTTTGTTCTTTGAAAATGTGCGGAAGTGTGCTCTTTAGGGATCCCGAGAAAGTACACTTAGCTGGTGTCTGTGTGTTGTGTGTATCCCCTCTCTCTGTGTGCATTAGGAAGATACATGCACACACAAACCTGCGCTCCAAGGACATTATTGCAATAACATAGTCTTGACGCAAAGGCCATGAAAGTGGGGCCTTTGAAGTCCCAGGCTCCTGTCTGGAAGACTTCCACTTTCAGCTGGGATGCTGATGCTTTGCAATGAAGCCCTGGGAGAGATCAAGCCCAGGACTGGAGTCTGGTTTGGTTTCTAGCTAATTGGCTGAGATTATTTTTGTAGGGAAACGCAATTGCAGGATGAGCTTGTGTGAATGGACAATGTGCTACTGATGCTTTTATGGGCTTCTCTTTCTGCTTTTTTTGCACTTAATGACACACTTCCTCCATACAGGTTCAGTTCCTTTTACTGCCGAAGAGTATGAAGCAGAAATTACTATGAATAGCCTTTTAATTAGTCCATTCTTAATTGCACCATGTCAGTTTCTGTTCAGGCGAAAGGGAAGAGGTTATTTTTACTTGTTTCTTTAAAAAAAGGTAAGGACACCTCAGGGTCAAATTGGTCTGCTCATTCTTGTAGAGAACACGGTCATGGCTCATGTTATCCCATGCCATGCAAACCGGTTCAGGTGCTTATAAAATGGAAGCCACAGCAAAACTGATTCACACACGCACCAGTATATTTATGTATTTTGAGAATAGGGCAGTGGTATGTGAAGACCATGCACCACAAACCAGTTGAACTCTGTTAAATTAACAGCTGTGGCTAAAATTGGTAAGGCCCCACAATGTATTAGAGAATATTTGACAAGAATAATATAATTGGTGTGCTTATTCTTGTAGAGCACCTGGCGATGGGTCACGTTATGCCAGGCCACACAAACTGGTACCAGTTCTTAAAGAACCCAAGCCGCAGTGAAACTGATTAAATTGCACACCAGTAGATTTCTCTATTTTAAGAATGGTGTGGAATCAAAATGCAGGACTGAAACGCAGAATAATCAATGCTTCACTGCAGTGTTTATTAGACAGTATGCACTGGGGGGGACCCATCAAGGGCTAGTGGGAGACATTCCCCTGCAGTTAAAATGGATGCCCTGATATTTATACGCTTCTACAAGAAAGGGGAAGGGAAAAGAATGTATACATCATGAGATGGGCGGTGTCTAAATTTAAAATATAAATACATCAGTAAGCAATATTTCTCAAATTACTTTCTGCCCCCCTTATCTCCTCCTCCTCCGAGACAGATGACTTGTATATTTGCCCCTCTTCTTATCTGCTATCTTCAAGGAAAACAATAGCCTTACTAAGAGGAACTAACAAGTTAGTCAAGGTGCCAAATTCAAGGATGAACTGCAAGAGAGATGCCTCGCATATTGGGACGTTTGTGATGCTGCTTTGAGATGAGGCTTTTTGCAATCACCCCAGTTCACACCAGTTGGATAAATTCCTTACAGCCAGCCTGCGCTTTCCTTTATATTTAAATTTTATTAAGGCAATCCCATTCATCTGAGGCCTCTAAAAACTTATTTCTTTTACCCAAAGATGTATTTTCCTCACGGTCCTTCCCCCCCTTTGACCTTCAGAAAGTCAAATTCCAGGTCAGACTGGAGAACTGCATTTAGCCTTACACTTTTTCTGGAGATAGTTGCTAAAAAGACCAGTTAAACATTGCCCAGTACAAAGCAATATAATTATGCTGGCCAGAAGAGCTAGGCAAATTTCTCACCCTCCCCGTCTGAGGCAACCAAGATGTAAGCCAATTCCATTGATTACTGGGGGCTTGTTCTGTGATCTGTTTTGCCAGATCCCTTAAAACTTGTGCAGTGGCTTTTACATGTAAAGAATTGTCAGTCAGGTTAAAGCAACACATACCTGGAAATTCCTTGCACCCATGGGCCATTTTGAATAACACAGAGTCAATGGCCAATCTTTGCAAGATTGCTGTCCTTACCTGTTCCTGCTCTTCTATAGTGTTTGAAGATTTATGGTCTTTATCACTAAACAAGCTAATTTCAATATCAACATAAGCACAGTTTGTCAGAGCTGATGTTCCAATTAAGGATATAGCAAGCCCACAAACATCTCTAGTATTCAATAGCCCTGTGTGGTCATCCCAGGCATTGTCAAGTGGGGTACCCTCAATGAGATATCTGTGCACTCACCTGGGTTTGTGATCAGTGTAATTCTGGATAAGTGGTACTACGTGAAATGAAGTTAAACGTCCAACTGTGCAGGGGCCTCCCTAGGAAGGTGCTGGGAAGTATGAAAAGGCAGTGTTTTTATATAACAGACACCAGCCCTTTGGTTAATAGTGAGGAACTCTTATAGAGCCAAGCTCTATCACCTCTGAACATTTTTCAAGTGCTGGTAGGGAAAAGCATGTCTTACTGTCATTACAACCAACCACTCACAGAGTTGGTCCCTGGCAAATTGCCTTTTGCTTCTACCCTGTGTAATGCTTGGTTGGTCCTGATGTTTGGTGGGTGCAGACTCAAAGTGCAGAAGGGTTTTCCCTAGGTAATCAAGGCTGAGTGGCTTATGTGTTGAGGGCAGTGTAGTGATAGTACGGAGTACGTTGAAAAACAGCTCAGGTACTCCTACAAAACATGTTTTGAGCACAGAACCCCAATTTGTTCCTTCGAGAGCACACAAGAGGTTCTCCAGGGGAGATTATGGAATGGACTAAAGTCAAATAAGAATTGGTTGTAGGCAACCAGTCTAGTGGGTGTTGCATCTTATATCCTGGCAATTGCAAATAAACCACACTGACCTACATGAACAGAGATGTAGATAGAGCCATTGCTTTACCGTGAGGCAGAAAGTAAAAGAAAAGAAAAAGAGCAGTATAATAAAGCAACCTAAATAACTGCAGGAGCCTGAATGTCAAAGTTAAACTCACAAGAGTCCATTAAAACTTATCTTCAGAGCTCTTCGGGGTTTCGTAGTCAAAACTTCACCCTTCTTTTTTCTTCTGCTTGCTTCCTGGGAGCCTGGAACAAAGTCCTTGGTGGTGCTTGCTTCTGGGGTTGGAGCTGAAGCACGCCTGAGATGACTTAGGTGAACCCACGAGGTCAGACCTTCAAGCTTTGCACTGCTGTGACCTACTAACAGCACTTGGTACAGGCCTTTCCACCTTGGGGAGAGAGAGTCTTTCCTCTGATGCACTTTTTGATACACCCAATCTCCTGCTTGGGACTGGCCCTAGACACGAGGTAGCTGTAAGGCTGGTCTGGAGCTGGTGTCAAGTAGTCACTTCATGGAGTGGTTCATAGTAAAATCATCTGGAAGGTGCATATCCATCTGGGAAGCCATGGGGTAGAGATGCAGGAATTTTGGCCTGCCCATCAGGATAGATCTTGTGTCTGACCATTTGGACTGCTCATCCTGGAATAAAATGTAAGCTTCCATCCCTCCTTTTGCTCTCTATGCCCAAGTTTGTGGGCAAATTGTGGAAGCAGGGCCTTAGAGGCCATTGGGCCTCTATAGTAGCACCCAAAGCCTCCACGAGCGAGTACATAAAGCCTCAAGGAGATATTTGCCAAAGAGGCGTTCTTAGCAGTCACCCTAAAGAGATTAGGGAACTTAGTAAATTCTATGAAAATAGAGTCACAGGAGAAAAGAGAATTGGGGGAAAAGCATGGAGGTCCTATAAAAAAATAAATAAATGAGTGACTCAGAGATTGAAGCAAGCACATCCTCATTTGCAAGTTTAAATATGATAACCATGATCCTGTGGCTGAAGTAGAAGGTATTTATTTTGGAAAACTTTGGTTAAAGATTATTCAGATTTTATTGCCCCTTGTTATACTTGGTGATTTTTCCTTTTTGCTAGCTTAGTTCAATAGGAATTTGTGGAGCAAGCAGGGGCAGAGAGTGGGGGATGCAGGTAAGTGTCTGCAAAAGTGGGAAAGCTGAGAGATCTACAGGAGCAGTAGCCACAAAGAAATCAGCAAGGAAGGCATAAATCAGAAGAGGAAAGTTAGAGAGAAAGAGCAGCCTTACGTTTTCAGCTAGAGTGTTAGCGATATGGGCTGAGACTTAAAAATAAAAACAAAAATCCAGGGTTATGGGGTGGAGGTGCCCAAAGTCTAAAAATATCATTTGGAAAGAAATCTCATTTCCCTACCTGTATTGAACAGGTGGGGCAGATGGGTCAGTGTGTGCCCTCAGCTCAGCAACTGTTCCTTTAACTTTTCATTTTGCTGCTTCAAGCTTTTGTCACTATATTGCAAGATGGAGATATTTGCTGTGGAGCATCTTTGAAATGACATTCTCCTTCCCACCAATAGTAGATTTCCCACATTTGTTTGCTAGACTTTTTTTTTTAATAAGTAATCTTTCTTAGCTTAAACATTCCTTCCCCAGGAACTGGTTTGTCCAACTGCCCCATAAAGGATTGTTTCTAATGGCCTTTTTGCCATATTTTTGCAGCATAAAGACTCCAGGGCTACCGGGGGGAACTTGGGGCTGCCTTTTTCCCGTAGTCCCCCCTTTTTTTCCTGGGGAGAGAGAGAGAGAAAAAGGAAGAGCTGCTCTGCACCCCTGCTTTCTAAGAAATCCACGTGGGAAATCCTAGATGTGGCTGCATGGAGCAACAAAAAGGAGACAAGATGTATACATACAACTGCTGACAACCTGGATCCAATTACTCTACTTCAGCTTAGGGAGGTGCCATTCCAGGACTCACCCTCAATTCTACCCTAAGCAGAATTACGTAGGCCTGCGGGGGGGTTAAAGCCAGGACTCACCCTCACGAAGCTGGTTGGCTTTTGCTTCTTCCCAAACCCTTCTCTCTGGCTCCTGTCATACCCTGCTGGGAAGAGGAACCGACAGAGCTGCTCCCACCGCGTAACCCACTAGGAATACAGTGCACGACGGAGGGGACCCATCAAGGTTAGCGGGAGAGACTCCCCTGCAGTAAAAATGGATAGCGTGATGTTTATACACTTCTACAAGAAAGAGGAAGAGAAAAGAATGCATACACATACATATTCCTGTCATGATGCAGGCATACGTCAGTAAGCAATAGACCTCAAGTTACTTTCTGTCCCCTTTTTTGTCTCCTCTTCTCACGAGACAGTTGGCTTGTTTATTTCCCTTCTTCTAACTTTGCTATCTTCAAGGAAAACAAGAGCCTTAGAAAGAGGAACTAACGAGATAGTCAAAATGCCATATTCAAGGATGCACTGCAAGACCGATACGGAAGCCACAGGGAAACTAATTAATCGTGCACCAGTATATTTCTCTATTTAAAGAATGCAGCAGTGGCAGATTAAGACGATGCCCCAGGAACCAGTTGAGCCCTTTGCTAAATTAAGAGCTGTGGCTAAAATTGGTAAGGCCATAAAGGATTCACAATGTATTAGAGAATATTTCCTAAAAATAATAAAACTGGTGTCAACATTCTTCTAGAAATCCTGACCGTGGTTCACCTTATGCCAAGCCACGCAAACTGGTTCTGTTTCATAAAGAACGGAAGCCACAGCGAAAGTGATTAAACTGCACACCAGTATATTTCTCTATTTTAAGAACGAGGAGTGGCACGTTAAGACCATGCCCCAGGAAGCAGTTCAGACGTTTCGAAAACTAACAGCTGTGGCTAAAATTTATAAGGCCAGAAAGGCCTCGCAATGTTTGGAGAAAATTTGCCTACAATAATGCCACTGGTGTGCAGTCTTGTAGACAGATTGGCCATGGTGTACGTTATGCAAGGCCACACAAACTGGTTCGGGTTCTTAAAGAATGGAAGCCACAGTGAAAGTGATTAAACTGCACACCAGTATATTTCTCTATTTTAAGAACGGGGATTGGCACGTTAAGACCATGCCCCAGGAACCAGTTCAAACCTTTGCAGAATTATGAGCTGTGGCTAAAATTTGTAAGGCCATAAAGGCCTCACAATGTACAGGAGAGTATTTGACTGGAATACTGTCACTTGTGCGCTCTCTCTTGTAGAGAGTTTGGAGACGGCTCAGGTTAGGCCAAGCCACGCAAACTGGTTCGGGTTCCTATGGACGGGGATTGGCACGTTAAGACCATGCCCCAGGAACCAGTTCACACTGTTGCAAAATTAAGAGCTGTGGCTAAAATTCGTCAGGCCATAAAGGCCTCCAAATGTATTGGAGAATATTTGACTGGAATGATGCCACTGGTGTGGCCAGTCTTGTAGACAGGTCAGCCATGGCGCAGGTTACGCCAAGCCATACACACTGGTTGGGATTCTTAAAGAACGGAAGCCACAGCGAAAGTCATTAAACTGTACAGCAGTATATTTATTTATTTTAAGCATGGGGAGTGGCACATTAAGAGCAGCCCCCGGAAGCATTGAGAGCTTTGTTAAACTAACAGCTGTGGCTAAAATTTATAAGGCCATGAAGGCCTCACAATGTACTGGAGAACATTTGACTGCAATAATGCCACTGGTGTCAAAAGTCTTGTAGACATGTTGGCCAAGGCGCACCTTATGCCAAGCCTCACAAACTGGTTCGGGTTCGTCAAGAACTGAAGCCACAGCGAAAGTGATTAAACTGTACACGAGTATATTTCTCTATTTGAAGAACAGGGAGTGGCACGTTAAGACCATTCCCCAGGAACCAGTTCACACCTTTGCAAGATTAAGAGCTGTGGCTAAAATTCGTCAGGCCATAAAGCCCTCAGATTCTAATGGAGAATACTTGAGTGCAATAATGCCACTGGTGTGTTCAGTCTTGTACACAGGACGGCCATGGCGCACGTTATGGCAAGCCACAGATACTGCTTGGAGTTCTTAAAGAAAGGAAGCCACAGCGAAAGTGATTAAAGTGCACACCAGTATTTTTCTCTATTTTAAGAATGGGGAGTGACAAGTTAAGAACATGCTCAAGGAACCAGCCCGCACCTATGCATAATTAAGAGTTGTGGCTAACATTTGCAAGGCCATAAAGACCTCACAATATATTGGAGAATATTTGACTGCAATAATGCCACTGGTGTGAACACTCTTGTAGACAGGTCGGCCCTGGCGGACCTTATGCCAAGCCACCCAAAGTGGTTCGGGTTCTGAAAGAACGGAAGCGACAGCAAAACTGATGAAACTGCACAACACTATATTTCTCTATTTTAAGACCGGGGAGTGGCACGTTAAGAGCTTCCCCCGGAAGCATTGAGACCTATGTTAAACTAACAGCTGTGGCTAAAATTTATAACACCATGAAGGCCTCAGATTGTAATGGAGAACTTTCGAAAGCAATAATGCCACTGGTGTGCTTAGATTTGTACAGAAGTTGACCATGGTCCACATTAGGCCAAGCCTCACAAACTGGTTCGGGTTGTTAAAGAACGGAAGCCACAGCGAAAGTGATTAAACTGCACACCAGTATATTTCTCTATTTTAAGAACAAGGAGTGGCACGTTAAGACCATGCCCCAGGAACCAGTTCACACCTTTGCAAAATTAAGAGCTGTGGCTTAAATCCATCAGGCCATAAAGGCCTCAGATTGTAATGGAGAACATTTGAAAGCAATAATGCCACTGGTGTGCTTAGATTTGTAAAGAGGTTGACCACGGCACACGTTATGGCAAGCCACAAATACTGGTTCGACTTCTTAAGGAACGGAAGCCACAGCGAAAGTGATTAAAGTGCACACCAGTCTTTTTCTCTTTTTTAAGAATGGGGGGTGGCACATTAAGAACATGCCCCAAGAACCAGTTGACAACTTTGCAAAATTAAGAGCTGTGGCTTAAATCCATCAGGCCATAAAGGCCTCAGATTTTAATGGAGAACAGTTGACTGGAATAATCCCACTCGTGTGCTTAGATTTGTAGATAGGTTGATCATGGCCCACGTTGTGAGGCCAAGCCTCACAAACTGGTTCAGGTTCTTAAAGAACGGAAGCCACAGCCAAAGTGATTAAACTGCACACCAGTATATTTCTCTATTTAAGAACGGGGCGTGGCAAGTTAAGACCATGCCCCAGGAACCAGTTCAGACGTTTCGAAAACTAACAGCTGTGGCTAAAATTTATAAGGTCAGAAAGGCCTCGCAATGTATTGGAGAAAATTTGCCTACAATAATGCCACTGGTGTGCAGTCTTGTAGACAGGTTGGCCATGGTGTACGTTATGCCAGGCCATACAAACAGGTTCGGGTTCTTAAAAAATGGAAGCCACAGTGAAAGTGATTACACTGCACACCAGTATATTCCTCTATTTTAAGAACGGGGATTGGCACGTTAAGACCATGCCCCAGGAACCAGTTCAAACCTTTGCAGAATTATGAGCTGTGGCTAAAATTCCTAAGGCCATAAAGGCCTCACAATGTACAGGAGAATATTTGACTGGAACACTGCCACTGGTGCGCTCTCTCTTGTAGAGTGTTTGGAGACGGCTCACGTTAGGCCAAGCTACGCAAACTGGTTCGGGTTCCTAAAGAACTGAAGCCACAGCGAAAGTGATTAAACTGCACACCAGTATATTTCTCCATTTTAAGAACGGGGGGTGGCAAGTTAAGACCATGCCCCAGGAACCAGTTCACACCTTTGCAAACTTAAGAGCTGTGGATAAAATTTGTCAGGCCATAAAGGCTTCCAAATGTATTGGAGAACATTTGACTGGAATGATGCCACTGGTGTGGCCAGTCTTGTAGACAGGTCGGCCTTGGCGCAGGTTATGCCAAGCCATACACACTGGTTCGGGTTCTTAAAGAACGGAAGCCACAGCAAAAGTCATTAAGATGTACAGCAGTATATTTATTTATCTTAAGCACGGGGAGTGGCACATTAAGAGCAGCCCCCGGAAGCACTGAGAGCTTTGTTAAACTAACAGCTGTG